CGGCTGCTGCCTTGCTGTGATTGGTAGAATGATAGTCGGGAGTCCGAGTCAGTAGTCGAGTCAGAGTCGGGAGTCTGTGTGATTACGGCTTAACGCTGAACCTCAGGAGCGTGACAAATACATTAGGCCCGTATCTTCCATGAAATTTTTAATTATTTAGCAAAACTTTTTTTGCTAAATAATTATTACATTTACAAATAATAACTTTTATATTTATGAATTTAACGTACAAAAATTTATTATTAAAATATTAAATTGTGTAAAGTAATTACACAGTGATAATCATAGCACATACAACCATTTACTTTATTAGAAACCTTATTTCTTATAATTCATAAAGAAATAAATAACATCATTTTTAGAAATATTAATATTTATTCCCTAAAGTTTAGATGATATTTATTCTTTTTCACTGTTATAACTTAATTAGTACTTAACGAAAAATAACTTAATTATAATGTTTTGGAAAGCTCTCGAGATGAGCTGTAAGAATGTGCAATGAGAAATAAGGGGTTCCATTTAAAAAATTAAAGGTGACCTTTACGTGACCTTCAGAGGACTATCCAAGGTCAAATCGATGGCACCATCTTATGTCCCCCTTGGAGTCAAACAATTTTTGTCTGAAACATTTTTGTCTATTGGATTTAGTTTTCGAGATATTTGGCTGGATCATTTAAAATGGGACACCCTGTATAACTGTTGTATGACATGTAACTAATATGTACGTTTCATGTTATACAGTAGTTATATACTTGTTTGATGTAAAACAAATTATTAGTGGAATTTATTATATTTGTAGAAATCTAAATAATAAGTAAAAATAATGGAACATTAATCAATAAGAAAAAACATCTTTTTGATTCATAAAATATTGTTACATTCCTACAAAGACAATGGTTTTATGCGTGTGCTTGCAAACGTGCAAGTAGAGAATACATGCAATCTGTTCACCGAGTGATTAGCTTTTACCTATGGATTCGTAGATAAGAATCAATCGCTCGGTGAGCAGACTACATTCTAAAACCCATCGAAAAGAGAATATTGCTTATTTTAGTTAACAAAGGAACTGTACAAAGAAACTGTAAAAACTATACGTAGAACATATAGTATATATTATAATAAAATAAATAATATAGAGATTAATTATGTCGACAATTAATAATATAATATAACATTAATCTAACCTGCAATAAGACCCGTTTCTACCAATATAGATTAACTTTAATCTTAGTTCAACTTACTCTTTATCTTTTTCTAATTCTGAGAACTGAAAAAAAATGAAGAGTTAGTTAAACCAAGATTAAAGTTAAACTATATTGGTAGAAACGGGCCTAAGTGTTTTAAAAATACTAAACTGCTATTATTAAGGAGTTGAGCATTAACTTTTTCGAGTGGCGTCTGTTTTACTACGTTGTGATCGTCCATCGATCAATTACAGTGTTCGGAAAAAGCATAAAAACTCTAGGTACTGGTCGCTGTGTGATTGGCTGTGGTCAAACGAGACATACCCAATTTTTTTCTTAGAGTGAAAACGTGAAAACTGAAAAATTGATCTTTCCAATATCTTCAATGATAATGGAGACAGAAAAAGAGAGATCAATTTTTCACTTTTCACTACTGGAGTAGTGACACTAATAGTAAAAATCCTGTACTTCTGTAGTGACATTAATAATCTATAGTGACGCGAATTTATTCCTGCACTAGTAGTAACACTAGTAGTATATTTTTATGCGATTATTACTTTTCTTTGCAAGGTTGGAATAAAAGAAGACTTTCAAAATGGGAATACAAATAGTCTCAATCTAGAGTAGTTGTAAATATGTTGTTGCTTATTATATATTTTTGGTAATACAAAAATCCATATGAATTTTGAAATATCAAAATTTTTCTTGTATATGTAAAATTGAAAATCTTTTGAGAGAGAAGTATGCCCAGTAAGATAATAAAAGAAACTTGTATGAACATTTTAACACCCAAATTTTTATTTGTATATGTAATATCTTTAATAATAAATAAATATTGCATTTTTAGTTTGGCACTTTAATTTTTCTTAACGACGCGTTTCTTTAAAAATCTTTAACACATCAATTTTACAAGTCATTTAAATGTTTCTAGCACTATTAATCACTAATTAATATCACATTTCCTATTAATTTTGCAACAACTGTTTCCCTCGAATATTTACCGAAACGAAGTAAGCGAAATAATTTACCAATGGCTACGTTAAGCAGAAAATGCAACTTTACAACCGTTGTAAGATTTTTAATATGATTGACTAGTTATCGCTATTACCGCGTATTAGGTCTGAGACTTAACTTCAAAGAATTAAATAAAAAATTAATAGTTGCGGATAAAATGTAACTAAATAAAGTTTAAAAAAAAGTTAAGAGTTTAAAATGTAACTAAGTTAAGTTAAAATTAATTAAGTTTTTAACTAAACTTTTATCTTTTTAACTTAGCACACCCAACCCTGATTTTTAATATAATTGGCTCTTGCCTTTAGACTTTCTTGGATCTGAAATGTACAACCCAATGATAATGAAGAATTTTACATCAGTTGCACAGCTTCTTTTTCAGCTGAACGTATTCTTCGTCGCACTAGCGATGTATATAATTGTTGGCTCCAAAAGATTATCGATGCACAAATCCACAGCACCGTCTCATCACCAAATCAGTGCGATCATTTAGTTACGGATTAAGTAGAAAATACCTAATCAGCCACTTTTTTGTCCTTTCTTTTCATTACCTGTAATTTAAAACAACAAACAATAGAAATAATGTCCACTATGATATCTGTGAGAACGCTACTCTCCGAGGAGATTCATGCTAGCATGGTATACGTGAAATCCGAATTCGATTCTCGACCTAGGTAATATTTTTCGCAATATCTGTATTACATTAGCGAAATTGGATCTAAGTTATTAGCTGTAGATATAATCACCTCATAAAAATAAATAATAAGAAGGTATAATAGACTAAATAATCAATTATAATATAAAAACGAACTATTGAGTAAACAAATAAAATAAATAAATAAATTTCGAAAATTCTGTTATACATCAACGGAAAAATCGAATTTTTAATAAACAAATTTTTAATTTTTATTGCTGATTAGATATATTTCATTCTGATCTGATCCACTAAAATTTTTGAGTATATAGAAATTAATTTTTAATTATACTTCTAAAATGAAATATTTAGAGATATATTAAAATATAGTGTAAAAAACAACTCCAAATTAAACTTTATTTCTCTATTCTCTGTTTAAATTTAATTAAAATATAAAATTTTTGTTTTTCGAAAATTATTTGCTTGAATTTCTAAAATAAAATATCTAATTTCTCCATGAAATTATAACAATAAATTGGAACGATAAGATGAACGATTTTCTCAATAAGGAAATAGGTCAAATGAATTATATTACTGAAATACACATAAAATATAATATACAAATACGATATAAGAGAATGAGTCATCAATGAATTAATTACCTTCTCTCCACTGTCGCATGGCAAGTAAAATACCAGTATCGTGAGGAATGATATGCCCATGCAGGGTATTATGAGGTTAACGGTGTAGAATAGAGTTTTCCTCCTCATCGTTATATAGAAAGTGATGTCAAGGTAAGGCTCGTCACAACAAGTGTAGTATCTTTCATGTCTGCAATTACATATCTATATTTTACTTAACAATCGCTTCGAATATATTAAATATTAAAAATATACCTTCTTCGGATCTATTCAGAATTAAAATCGAAATTATTAATATTATTGATGATTAGAGGAAGGTCATCGATACCGATATACCACTTTGATTTTAGACAATATTGATTAAACAAAAGGTAAAAATACATCTTCAAAAACATAAATACAAAGTAAAAAGTGTCTTCTATCAGATAGTATAAACAATTTTTAT